CCCCCCCCCCCCCCCCCCCCCCCCCCCCCCCCCCCCCCCCCCCCCCCCCCCCCCCCCCCCCCCCCCCCCCCCAGCTATTTAAACACACAGAGGGGATATCAAATCACCACATAAACGAATGGAATATAAACATACAATCCGATCATCGTGACGAGCGTATGATACGTGAGAAACAGGAAAAGCAACACAAAACGCTAACTCAGCAAAAATATCAAAATGTGAAGGGAATAAATGGACGAAGCCCCTGTCAACGCCACAATCGTATATCTTCATACCTTCGCCTCCCTTCGCCTCCCTTCGCCTCCCTTCGTCTTACGCTTCACTGTTGCTTCGACTGATAGATTTCTCGGAGAAGTTATCCATATCCCGAGCGGTAGCATTGACGACCCTCAATCGCTCCTTCGGCACCGTATATGTCATCTGGACGCGTCTCCCCTCTATCGCACCCTCGACGTCCCAGTCCCCATCGTCATCATTGTCGGTCTCAATCATGTTATCGAGCAGTCCATCCAGGGCGAAATCATCGCGAATAGGCGTCTGGAACGTCATCTCCCGCGAGGATCGGTTGCCGGCGCTCCACTCCCTGGCACTGCCCTGTTTACGCCGGAACAGCTCAGCCGACGCACTGACCGAGCGACGGGGGACTGGCGCGGCTGCTAAACTTGAGGCACTGCCCGACTCGAGTGGTTTCTGAGCTGCTCCGAGCGCCGTGCCGCGGCGATCGACCCCCGAGGCGAGGGAGGTGTCGTTCCAGTCCTCGGTGGCTGGTGGGCGCTTGCGAGTGACGGAGAGCACGCGTCGGACGTTGCCCATCCAGTCTGAGGTCCGGGGCTTGGAGATGGAAAGGGGTCGTGGGAAAAGATCCACGGTGGGTGATTGGGGGCTTTGGGGGCCTTGGGGACCACCTCCTCCAACCGTTCCTTCTTGTTGGAGAAGGTGCTCGCTTTCGACCTGGCGTTGGGAGAGGGTTGTATGGGCGGTGGAGAAGGAATCGGAGGAATAGCGCTTCTCTTGCGGAAGGGTTGCGCTGTCGGGTCGGTTGTGGATGGTGTGTCCGGATGACGAGGAGCCGGGCTTTTCGGGCGACACACGCCCACTGCTCGGTTGACTGGATGGGTTATGGAAGATCACGCCGTGGTATTGGTGGGCGGATTTGGTGGAGGTCGAGGAATCCGATAGATTCGAGGAAGTGCGGTCGTTCTTGTCCGGAGAGGGGGGCTCGTCGCGCTCGAAGCCAGCGCTGGGAGTCAATGCCGGTACGACGCCGTGGGGATAGAGTTGCTCTTCGCCGACGATGGTGCTTCGGGGGGTGAGGAACGGGTCCATCGAGTTTCGCACCGCTCGCCGCTCGGAATCTTGAATCTCGTCCTCCTCCCGCTCGTCGATCGGGGGAATATCGGCCGTTCCGTCACTTCTTCGGTACTCGTTGTACGGTGCAGGCGGGCGGTACATTCTGGCATTCAGGCCTGAGCGACAGGTCTTGGTCGGGGATGGGATGTCCATGAGCAGTCCCGTTCTTTCGGCGACGGCATCCCCAGTATTCTGCCAGTTCGATGACCGGCTGGTGCTCGGGTTGTTGTTCCACGGGTAGTCCCTATTGGCCTCTCGCGTGGAGGGCCGGCGGACGCTACTAGCCATGGAAGGATCGTCTTGATTCCAGAAGTGTGCGCGTTGTGCCTCCAAGGCCAGCTTCCGGAGGCTTTGATCGCGCGTGCGGCGTACTCGTCGCCTCCGCCAATAGAACCAGACCAGGATCGCGGCGCCCGCGAGAGCCGGAATCCCAGCCCCGAGTCCTGCACTGAGTCCGATTGTTCGGGGGGTGGACGAATGGGAATGGGAGTCGGTGTTCGCGCCCACCTCGCTGGGCTCATCGGACGGGGGCGGGCCGGAGACAACGTTCGGGTTTGCATACGACGAGACCCAGTCGCCCGAAGTGACGTTGTACAGCTGCACTTGGGTGTTCAACTGCGGGCTGGCGTCCGATCTTTTGGACGATTGTGATATGCGATACCCGCCTGCGATCATCATCACGCCGCCAGGAAGCATCGTCACGCCGTGGCCATAGATGCCGGTCCCTTCCGCAAGTGGGCTGTGTTTCTTAGATGGGATGCTCCATTTCCAGCCACTCGAGCTTGCATACTCTTCTCCGATCTCGAGGACTGCCAACTGAGGGTGAGCGGGGACACCGGTATTGCCAACCCAGCCTCCAAACACAATCACCTTGTTACCATCTGGAGAGAGAACGGCGGTATGTCCGGAGCGCGGCTCGATCGCCGGGGCCGTGCGAGCCGCAAGGTCCGTTTTGACCGAGTCGAGCGACGAGTCGATGTTGACAATGCTCCAACTGTTCTGCGGAAGCGAGAAGAGAGCCAGCTGCGACATATTGATGAAGGCCTTCTGGGTATGACCTCCAATCAGCAGAAACTCCTGCTGTTTCAACAACTTCCCCGTCGCAGTAGACGTATATGCCGGCAGTAAGGGGGTAATCGTAAACCCGGCTTCCGGGATCGGGGGTGCGCGCTCGCCGGCAGTCGAGATTTGATATTCGGAAGGCTTGTCCGAGTCGGAAGGGCTCAGGACCATTAGGGTCTGAGAATAGTTCGCAGCGGCCATCCACGTTTGGCCCCATTGGACTGGTAATGGGCACATTCCACCAAAGGCGTAAATGGCGCTCTCGCTCTCGTTGGAGTTGGCATACGCAAACCCCGCGGACAGATAGTTCGGCCCACTCATCCTAGAGCGCGTTCGATCGTTCGTTCCAGCTACCGAGTACCTCTCCCAGGTCCCGTTTCCAATCGAGCTGCTGCTGCTGGGCGTGAACTGCCATACCGTAGAATTCCCTCGCGTGCACTGGCAATCACCGGTATAGATTTGGATCATGCCGTGTTGGTCGATTACCGGAACGAATGAAGATGTCTGGTTTTCGGTTTGGAACGGGACCTCCTTCGAGAGGGTCTCATAGCGTGGATGTGAGCCATCGACGTTCCTGGACACGTTCAGAGAAAGCAACTCGGCAGTGCCTTGGTTGCTACCCGGCCGTAACAGATAGGTAAAAGAGGCGTTGTTCTGCGAGTCGTATAGAAGGTATGACGGGGTGTATGGAATAGTAGCAATGACAGGACTAATAAGCAGCACGACGAGTAGGAAGAAGGTCGACGTCAGATGGACGCCGTCAAGTTTGCGCATTCCGTTGATTCGGGGTATTCGATCATCCATGGGACACGACAGGAGTTTCAACCAAGTTGAGGGGCACTCTGACGTCCTGAGACAGACCACTGCATCTAGAGGAAGTCCGTCGATCTTAGTTTGCAACCGTTAGCTCGAAAAAAGGCGTCTCGAGGCTTGTTCGGCCGGCATGGAGAGAGAATCGCGCTGGATGAGGGACCCACGTGCCCGGCGGGCGTCTTCTCGACGCGATGTCAAGTGGGGAGATTTAGATAGAACAACTTGACCCTGGAAGGGGGAAGATCTCTAGGAATATGAGAGAGTTGAAGAAGAAAGTGAAGCAGCTCGTGGTCGCAGGTTGGAAGAAAGTACGGAGTAGCAGCTAGAGTGGGGGGCGATGGGCCAGGCGACAGTCAACAAGACCATGTCGAAGCCATGGCCGATCGGGGCCGAAGTGCAAGATCAATCAATCAATCAATGCATCGGAATAGAACAATAAATTAAAGCCATCGTCATGGCCCATGGTCTGGGCGGTGCGACGTTGATCCATGATGACATTCGCCATTGGCTTAATGGAGGGGCTGGACGAATTATGCGTAAACAGGCGGCTGGTTGCACCGGCAACGTGCATCTTCTTCGTGCCTCGTCCACGGTACCAAGGAAAAGGGTTGCGTAAGATGCGCTTGGATTCTGATGTTTTTTTTTATTTTTATTTTTTGGTCACCTCGAAGATTCGAGTCGTAATCTTATCGGCATCTGTCATTTTATTATCATGTTCAAACTTCCTCAGGAATTCTGCAGGTCATGTGGGGAAGGTGAGACACGGCATCGTGAAATGCATTCCATGCTTCGTCTCTCTCTGCCCGAACTAATTTGACCCTAATGCTTCGAGATGTTTCAAATCGACTGTCAATTTCCGGACTATTGGTTGCTCGGGATCCATCGACTCCATTTTGGGATCGGTTTGTCGGGACAGCCCTATATTCTATAGTCGATACACTATGCACAGAACTAAGGGTTTGGGCAGCACCGTCCCGAGTTGAAGAAAGCCTAGATTGAGCCTCATTTTCTTTCTAACTCGACGCGGAGTATTGTTTGCTACCCAAGATATCCAGAGGGAGACTTGATAGGGAATTATGACGTCTGGTTGCCAATATACTCCAATCTCGGTCTTCTTGGGCTTCCGCCATCCCTGGTTCGGGTTGTTTGTTTTCACCTCTTCGAGGAATGGGCCCAAGGTCTGTGAAATCGAAATGAAAGGAGGTCAAGATGGTTCCGCTGTCCATCCGAGGTTTTCGAGATTGCATGCGACAATTTTCGTGATCATGACTCGTTAGGGCCACTCTTTCGCGGCCCTAGTCTCGCAGGGCACGATTGCCTTAGTAAACATTGCAATCTTCTGTTCGAATCGGCATCAGAGACATAGGAAAGCCATTACGTTTGGAAACGGACCCATAAGCCAACACTGATCATTGGACTATAGGTCCAAGCTACTAGGGTTGATTATGGCAGAAGCATTTCTCAGCTCCTTCTCAGCCTGTCGACGGTCGACACCTCGACCTTCTACGTCAGACCTGGCATTTGCAACCAGACCCCGATAGTCGCACGTGTTCATCCCTACCAATGCGCATTTGAGCGATGCTAGCCTTCCGGACCAGTCCCACCACCATCTCCTTGTAGACCAAGGAAAGTTACTCCGTACAGAGACCAGACCGCTCCCCGTGAGACCGAGATATCTCTACCTCCCTGTCCGCGAAACATGATTCGACAGACAAGGAGAGAAAAGGAGAGGGAGGGAAAGAAAAAGAAAAGAGTCAGCTCCATATCGCCGTTGCACGACTTGTCCCCCTCCCTCAAGTCACGGGGGAATCCCGTGGGGCGAATGCGGGGTTCATTGATCCGACCAGAGAGCAGAGGGTGTCTAAGTGTCCATCGTCAATGTCTTCGATCCCGACGGGTGAAGATGTGATGAATGATGATTTAATGCCTGCGGGTCAGTGCCCCGTCTCTTCCCACATTGGGTTAACGATCGCAGCTGTCAGCGACTAGTAGTAACTTTAGTTTGAACGTGGTGAATCCACAAGGGCTGAGGAGATGCGGTTGGATGCGCTGCGGTGGCGTTTATTCAAGAGGTTTTTAATTACTGTCGGCCTGATCTCACCGGAGCAGAGGGAGGGAGAGAGGTATAGAAGATCCGATTATACGACTAGCATCATGTCGACTCACCGTCGGCTCACCCCCAAAACCATCCCGGCTGAGACGGGTTACACCGTCCCCTCTCGATGATACCCTCATCTATCCCATGGTCGATACACTCCCTGTCGCTTGATCGCCTTTTGATTCACCCCCTCGGGTGGTCCCGCATTCCCCAGCTGCCTCCTGACCCCCGGGAGACGACAAGGGAGTTCGAAGGTCACCCATAGTATGACTAGCTTGTTTCGAAAAAGAAGGTCATGATGATACTCCGTGGGGGTGAGAGCGAGAGCGAGAGAGGGAATTTATTGGGGAGAAGATGTGAGACAAGGAGATAATTAAATTTTCCCACTCGATTCCTCTCCTGCTCAAGTCGACGTGTATTTGATAACGCCGAGTGGCGAACGTATAGTTACTTATGATTTATGGCTGTAGGTATCCTTGCCGCCTTCAGCCGCTTCGGGAACAACCGGTTAGGCTTCGGGGAGACGACCAGTGCCACTCGGTCTGATATATCCATCAGAGTCAAACAGGGTGTAATGGCCTCTGACAGCAGAATAAGACTGCGCTCCAGACGTCGCAGGCGAATCAGGTCACTAGTCAGAACCTTCTTCGAGGTGTTCGCGTATCCTGAATGCAATATCCTGGGCGGATATGTCATGCCATGCTATGCGAGGTCTATTGTTCAAATAGCGCGCATGGACCGAACCAACAGTCATTGTCCATCTTAGTTGTGGCTGGTATAGAATGGAATCGTCCTATCAGCGCGGCGGAAGGTATGTCCAAGCGACAGAGATTGGGGCGGAACTCGTATCCAACCAGGGGGTCGATTGGGCTCGGTGGTTGGAGGAACCGCAGCAGGACCGGCTCAGAGAGACAGACAGAGCGAGCGAGCTGGAGAGGCTGCAAGGGTCCCTGCGAGCCCGATTTGCCATCAGGAGACAAATAGGAAAGAGTCAGGATCCGTAGTGGTGTAGTGGTCCAGTACGATACCATAACTGTGGCAGGTAAATGTAGTATAGTGTAGTAAGATTATAGCCTAGACTGGCTAACGAGGCACGGACGCTGCTGTGCGACGGGAACCTGGATGAATTTGCTCATTAGTGAATGCTGCGGGTGAGTCTGTGTTGGATCTAGCGTCTCGATGGGACATCATCGTCCGTGGCCATGTTTGACTCTGACCGTGCCTTTCTCCTTTCTCTCCATCTTGCGCTCTCTCTCCCCAGTCGGTCTTCTCCCCGCCTCTTCTTCTCTCATCTCTTCGCGCCTCCCCCCCTCCAGAGAGGAGACCCGAGGGTATACGAAGGACCAGGGGGTACTGGGACCGAGGACACCTGGTGCAATTGCAGTTCTTCGCTCTTGGTTGAACAACCGGGCGACGCTAAAAAGCTTGGTTCGGGCATGGAGAGCCAATGGCCGCGAGTCAGGATCGGGGTTGCCATGCAAGACGCTGAACTGGGGATGGTTATGAGAAGAGGAGAAGGTGGACTTGTGATCTCCTGTCCCTCAGGACTCCTGTACTCCTGTAGGACGCAGTGCAGTCTACTAGTCTGCTCCTCCGTGGCAAAAGAGACGAGTATCAAACATGAAACCTGCAGGGAAGATTGACATGGATTGATCGTATGTACCTACTCCGGAGTACGGATAATGTTAGGGCGGCACCCTAAAAAGGTAGTAATAATACCCAGAGGTAACTATATTTTCTTTGATTATTGATCCCCTAGTGACAGCGGCTGGGATATCTAACCTAGTAGAACCTGGATAATTACCCCGGCCAGCTTTTGTCTCAGATTCCCTGCTTTGGTCGGGCCCGCTGCCCTTTTTCCCGGTAGAACTGGATGACATCCCGGCAGGATCCTTATTATGATTATTTACCGTCACCATGTACTAAGGTAGGTAGAGTGGTAGGTAGACTTAACTACCGCTACCTCGAAGATACGGAAAAACATTGGGCTCCAATGACGTCACCCTCCAATCACCGAGGGAGGGAACCTGAAGGACAAGCCGAAAAGCGCGATGCACGCCAATATCCAGTCGTATGCGCAACATCCAGTAGGATCATCCGAGCATCCTCAGCATCCTCAAAATTCATTGTTCCCTTCTCTCTGGGCCATCCCCGTCCCGTTCGGGAAGATTACCCATGAAAGCTCCGGACGGCCGTGATGTTTCTGGTCTCGGCTCTATTTATTTATTTCCAATTTTCATTATTTTAAATAGAATCAAACACTTGCATGCTCTGGCGGACGGGAGGGAATTCTATCCATAGGCTGACACTGGCATAATGGACAGTTCTATAGGGACTTAGTCGACCCATCGTCCGGGAGAGGAAAGACGGGACGGATGGAAACAGCGGTCCGATAGGAAGTTCTCTTCGCTTCGAAGAGTGGTGGTAGTAGAGTAGTAGCAGCAGCACTAGCCCATGCCTCCTCGTTGATTGATTAGGCTGCTACGCATGAGGAAATTAGGGATGGGGATGTTGACTGGAAGTTTCGGCGACTTTCCAATAGAGCCGGGAGCACGGGAAGAAAATCGCAGAGGGAAAGGAGTGGGGGAAACTAAGGTAATGCGATTTTCCCAACCCTGCCGACGGGAACACATCATGTCCGATCAATTGAGGTCCAAAACCCCCATCTTATTTGAGTAATAGCTAGAAAGTCACTACTCCCTACCCTACCTATGGCCTGGAAAGAGTTCCATGTCCTTTGGGGGCCAACGAGCATTGGCCATTCTGGCTTCTCCGGTTCCAATGGTTGAGAAACCCGTTGGAGACCAGGAGAACACAGACCCCTCCAGTCCAAACTCATCGCGCGAGACTAAAACAAACTGCGCCCGTACGATTGGTTGACATGGATATCTGT